GGACGGGCATGCGGGCATGGCCCCGCCCGCCGCGCCGCACAAAGAGCCCAGGCCGGGTTAGACTTTCAAAGCAACAGCCTGAGAGTCCAGGTGTCCCGGGGTTCCGTGCCCCGTGCTCCGGCGGCTTCCATGTGTGTTTCACGGCGAGCGCCTGGTCGGTGCGCCCACGTCGCCGCGTCCCCTCCATTGTTGGTGTCCTGGGCTTAGGGGCTCGGAGGTAGGTGGGTATGGAGCAGGGGCTGCACCCTCTCCCCGCACTGGCTGTGGTCCCTCAGCCGTGCTGCCCGCCTCGCCATCTGGTTCAAAGAAATGTAAACGTGGCCTGGGAAGGAAAGAGTTAACCTCACTTTAAATATTCATGTTATTTTTTTTTTCATGTTATTGTTTTAAAGGTGTAAACAGGCGGCTCTGGGGTTGGAGTTGACTCTTATTTTGCACATATGCACATTCCCTCTCCCCCTAGCCTCCACTTATTGCTTATTTTCCCAAGCAGCCCGCCTTCCCCATGCCCTTCCCCAAAATACAAGAATGTGTCTCTTTAAGGTTCTGATGTGACTGTGATTGGTGTCTCTAGTGCCATTTGGAACTTTAAAACTCCTGAGTGCCTTAGGGACTTCTGGTGTCTTAGACTTTTTTCACTTTAAAAACCTTGCAAGGTATAAATTATGTTTTAAAGGAACTTTAGTCCCCCAAATTCCAAATTCCTCTCCACGCCTGTTTTTTTTTTTTCTTTGAATAGGGATTAGAGTAGGAAAATAACTGGATGCCTCGTGAGTTGGTTTTTTTTTTGTTGTTCTTGGTAGGCGTGTGGCTGTGTTAAATGTGAAGCATTTTTAGAGGAAAGGACTTGTTTTTGTTCCAGACTCAAGTCAACGTGCTGATGGACTTTTCTAACTCTCAAATGGCTTCAAAATTCCATCTTGGCCACTTGCTTTTTGCTCTCCTGCCCTCCTCCTTTTGGACAGGTTGTTTTCTTGGAAATTTGCACGGTTGTAGCTTTCAAACCGCAATTCTTGCTCACCCCAAATATGTTTTTGTAAAGACGGTTTGGATTACTGCCCAAACTCGGGCTTTGTGAGATTTATTTAAATGTGATGTCCTTCCCAGGGGGTTGAAAACTCTATAAATGGGAATTATGTTCTTGATCATACATTTTATAAGGGAAACTGACCCTGTAACTTTGGGTGTCTGTAATTCTATGCCCAATAAAATATCAGTCTGGAGGTTTGTAAACTCTGAGAACACATGTGAGCTTTTGGTGTAGCCCCAAAGGTTTCAAACTCGGAAGTGCTTGTTCCAGAAACTTGCAGTGGTACCAGGTACTAGTGATTTAGTACAGCATAAGTTATCATTTTAGTTCTGCAGTGACAGTATGCAGTAGCATATTTTGTCAATGATGTGTGTGTACAAGTGTGTTGAGCAGATGTTTGCTTTCTAGGAACTAGCACTGCTTTGAAACTTTACGCCACTCTTTAACCTTGCTGTGTTAAACAGCCATTCCAGTTTTCAAGTTGTGTTCTTTAGTGAGACTACCTATTAGTTTTGCATTGTGTTGTATTCTTCTGGCTCAGTTTTCTAAAGTTGAATTTAGCATCATGAAGAATTTCATCAACTGCCTTTTCATCAGTGTTCTTTTCCTGCAAAGTATTTAGTAGGTGCTTTATTTTTCTATGTGATATAGCAAAGATATCAGAAAAGTTTTCCAGAAAAGTCACTTTAGCAGAACATCTAATTTCTAAATCACAGTGCTTCTGGGTTGACAGATGAAGTGACTAGATGTTTTCTCATAATGCTTCCCACTAGAAGCATTTGTGACTTTTCAAGATGGCACTGTGTCATGTTAACCAGCTGGCCTGTAGTTCCTTCTTCAGAGGGGGTCTTGCTGCCCCTCAGAGCCACAAACATTAGATCTTATGTAGAAGACTAGAGGCCTAGTGCATGAAATTTGCACAGGTAGGGTCCCTAGCAGCTGCCATCTGCCAGCCAGGACCTCTGTTCATTCCACGCCACCCCCTGGTGGTCAGCGCACATCATAGCAAGCGATCGAACTCCCAGTCAGTCGAACTCCCGAGGGGACACTTTGCATATTAGGCTTTTATATATATCTAGATGCTTGTGATGGTATAGTCACTTTAAAAAAAATTGGTTTATGCCTCACTGTGACTGAACTGTTATAGCCTCTGATCATCATTTCCCAGTGGTCTTACTGATTTCAGTCCTTTTCACATTTACTTTTCACTTTCATGTATTCACTTGATTCTTGGCAGATACTAGTGAGAAACCTTTTAATGGTGTCTTTGTGTTTTGATGATACTCAGGTGTATCTGTGAAGAAACCAGTGGACTAAGAGAGGGAAGAGAGGAGCCCAGCTGTGAGGTGTGTACACCCAAGAACCATGTCTACACGGGAGTCTTTTAACCCGGAAAGTTATGAATTGGATAAGAGCTTCCGATTAACAAGATTTACTGAACTGAAGGGCACTGGCTGCAAAGTGCCCCAAGATGTCCTGCAGAAATTGCTGGAATCCTTACAAGAAAACCACTTCCAAGAAGATGAGCAGTTTCTGGGAGCAGTTATGCCAAGGCTTGGTATGTGAACCATTGTTTCTCTGATATTTCTCTGAGTAAAGCATCTTGGCTGCAGTATAGTCAGAGTAAAAAAACCAGACGGCTCTCCTTCCATGTTGCCTTTAAAAAAAAATTCTAAGAAAGCTGGTTTGGCTCAGTGGCTAGAGCATCAGCCTGCAGACTGAAGGGTCCCGGGTTTGACTCCGTACATGGGCACATGCCCAGGTTGCGGGCTTGATCCCTAGTAGGACATGCAGGAGGCAGCCAATCAATGATTCTCTCTTATCGATGTTTCTATCTTTCTCTCTTCCTCCCTGAAAAATAAAAATATATTTAAAACAGAAAAAAAAGAAAGATTCAAAGGATGAAGCAACAGTAACTTACATTATTATAATTTATTTGGAGGAGGAAGTACTTGAAAATCATCAAGAAATGTGCCTTAACCATTTATAAACTATTAAGTGCATGATTGAGACATATTACAGTAAAAGCATTTTTTATTAAATTGATTTTTCTGGTTAGCTGAGGACTAAGCAGAACTCCTTTATGCCTTTATCCTAAACTTTCCCACTTTCCCTTAAAATGCTTGCATTTTCTTCATTGCCTTAGGAAAGGAGGTGCTTAAGTATCATTGTAAATTGAGAGTTTTGACTGGGTTGGGGTGGGGGTGGGGCGGGGAACTGGGGTATTTCTCCTCAATATGCATTGCTTGAAAAGTTCCTGCAGGCAGGACGGAGAAGAAAGCTGTCCCAGACACAGAAGGGGAGAAGACAGGCCCGAATCTGTACTTGACCCCAGATGTCATCTGGAATTGAGAGCTATGTTGTTTTCTTTACTGAATTCCCAATGTCATCAGTGGTTTGCCTTTTCCCAAACATAGGTCTCAGAAAGAAATTCTGAGTTAATGGGATATTGTTTGTTAGCTTTTGTTGTGTGGTTTGTCAGTACATGATGCAAGACTGTGATCACTTTGCCGTTTAAATGTTTGGCATATATTCTAGGAATCTGGATGTTTTGTAATTCGAGTGTGTGACTCGATCAGCTTTCTTTTATTTATTTTATTTTTTGGTTAATCCTCCCCTGAGGATATTTTTTCCATTGGTTTTCAGAGAGTGAAAGAGAAGCATCATGTGAGAAAGAGGCATATCGATGGGTTGCCTCCGGCACTTGCCCTGGGGCAATCACAATCCAGGTACTTGCCCTTTACTGGAATCAAACCTGAGACCCTTCGGTCCGCAGTCTGCTGCTCTAACCACTGACAAACACCGGCTAGGGCTTGGTCAGCTTTCTTTTTTATTTTATTTTTTAAAGCTGCTGAGAGGCCAAGTAAAATGAAGTCTTGAGGAGAGATATTTGCACAGTGTTCTTCCTGCATTTTAATTATTTTTATTGATTTTGAGAGAGAGAGGGAGGAGGAGAGAGAAATATTGATATGAGAGCAGCCCATCAACCAGCTGTCTCTTGCACGCCCCCTACTGAGGATCAAGCATGCAACCCGGGCAGGTGCCCTCACCAGGAATCAAACTGTGGCCATCCAATCAACTGAGCCACAACGGCCAGGGCTGATCAGCTTTCTTACATAAGGTCTTGTGTGTGTGTGTGTGTGTGTGTGTGTGTGTGTGTGTGTGTGTGTGTTAGATATATTTTTATTGATTTCAGAGAGGAAGGGAGAGGGAGAGAGATAGAAACATCAATAACAAGAGAGAACCATCATTCAGCTGCCCTGTGCACGCCCCGGTCCCCCTCCCCCAGGGTTCAAGCCCATAACCAGGGCATGTGTCCTTGACTGAAACCGCACCCGGAACCCTCCAGTCCGGGTTCCACTGAGCAGAACCAGCCAGGGCCTTACATAAGGTTTTTATTTCACTTATTTTCACCCATTATCATATTGTGAGTACAACATTGGTTTCAACCGAGGGTACTCCTTTCTTCCCTAATATACAAAGTAGATAAAAGCAGAGTTACTTTGATTAGGAGAGAGGAAAGCTCACAGCCCAAACTCTAGGGACCTCAGGACTCCCAGGAGCTCAATTTGAAACATCCTCATCTAGCTGATGTCTGAGTGGGTAGAAATACCACATGAATGAATTGGATTGGATAATAGCTTACTTGACAAGAAATAAGAATACAAATAGTGCCGAAACCGGTTTGGCTCAGTGGATAGAGCGTCAGCCTGCGGACTGAAGGGTCCCGGGTTTGATTCCGGTCAAGGGCATGTACCTGGGTTGTGGGCACATCCCCGGTGGGAGATGTGCAGGAGGCAGCTGATCGATGTTTCTCTCTCATCGATGTTTCTAACTCTCTATCTCTCTCCCTTCCTCTCTGTAAAAAATCAATAAAATATATTTAAAAAAAAAAAAAAAAGAATACAAATAGTTCCTGATTTATGATGGTTCATTTCATGACTTTTTTACTTTATGATAGTACAAAAGCAGTACACATTCAAGTAGAAACTGTACTTGGAATTTTGAATTCCAATCTTTTCAAAACCAGCCTAGCGATATGCAGTATGATGCTCTCTCGTGATGCTAGGCAGTGAGCCACAGTCACGGTCAGCCAGGATATCACACGGGGACACAACTGATACTCTACAGTGTATTTATTGTGTATGTTCTAAGCATGTTTAAGGTAGGCTAGGCTAAGCTATGATGTTCGGCATTTTTGACAGGATATTTTCAAGTTATAATGGGTTTATTGGGATGTAGCACCATCATAAGTTGAGAAACATCTGTATACTGAAAAAACTCTTAAATAACTTTGTCAAGAAAAATAAGTTGCTGAATGGGGCAAAAACAATGCAATTAAAAACCTGTGGATAAAGTAATAGTTTCTTTTAATAACTTCCCCCTGTTGACCTTATTGAGCACTTGGACATGCCGTGCACCGTTAAGTGCTTAAATAATGGGTAGGAGTAGGATCATTTGCTCCTTTCAGCAGCCTCATGATGCTTGGCCAGGGTCCAGATCTGGAATCCACATCTTTCCATTCCTCTACTCTCTGTCATCTGGTTTCTAAGTCCAAACAACGTGTTCAAAGTGGGCAGAGGAGCTGCACCACCTATAATCCTTAGCAGTGGCAAAAGGGGACAGATGTCACCAGCAAGGAAAGAGGCATGGAAAAGAACACAAAAGCAATGGGATTTGGTCACATAGGGATTTTGAGAAGTAAATGAAAGCTGTCCCTTTCCCAGAAAAATGCACATCCACAAAATTTGCCCTTATGGCATTTGGTAGGTGTAGCTATGGACCCCAGGTTACAATCAAATAGATGCTAAAGGAAGCATAGTATTAAAATTGAGTACAGAGTGGTATATCTTGATGGCATAACTTTCCTTTGGAATCAGATCTAGATTTATATCCTGACACAGTCACTTACTAGTCACTAATGTTACTCTGCATGTTTTTAATCCTCCTGATGCCTCAGTTTTCTGATTTATACAATGGGATAATAAATTTCTGTACCAGAACTTGTATGTTCATGCACCAAGTATTATATATATACTAGAGGCCCGGTGCACAAAAATTTGTGCACTCGTGGGGGAGAGGGGGTCCCTCAGCCCGGCCTGTGCCCTCTCGCAGTCTGGGACCCCTCGGGAGATAACGACCTGCTGGCTTAGGCCTGCTCCCCGGTGGCAGAGGGCAGATCCAATCCCTAGGTGCAGCCCCTGGTCGGGCTCAGAGCAGGGCCAATTGGGGAGTTGGGGTGCCACCCCCTGTCATGCAGAGAGCAGGGCGGATCGGGAGGTTGCGATGCCACCCCTAGTCACGCTCAGGTAGGGCCGATTGGGGGGTTGGGGCACCGCCCCCGTCACACTCAAGGCAGGGTCGATAGGGAGGTTGCAGCGCCACCCCCTGTCATGCACAGAGCAGGGCTGATCAGGGGGTTGGGGCGCTGCCCCCTGTCACGCACAGAGCAGGGCCCATCAGGGGCGTTGGGGCTCCGTACCCTGTCACACACAGAGCAGGGCCGATCAGGGGATTGGGGCGTCACACACAGAGCCGCAGGGCGATCAGGGGGTTGGGGAGCTCCCCCCCATCAGGCACAGAGCAGGGCTGATCAGGGGTTGGGGCGCCTTCCCCTGTCACGAACAGAGCAGGGCGGATAGGGAGGTTGTGGTCCCGCCCCCTGTCACACACAGAGCCGTAGGGCGATCAGGGGGTTTGGTCGCTGCCCCCTGTCACGCTGATCCCGGTGCCGGGAGGCCTCGCTGCTCCGCTGATCC